CCCAATTTTTCAGCTTCCGCCGCCCCTGTCTCTCTCTTTGCTAAGCTCTTTCTAGATCTTTCTCATACCAGCGTAGGGAAGATTTCAAAATCTTGAGCCGGGCCTTGTGTGCGCACGCGCGACTTTGGCGCCAAAAGTTCCCGCCAAATCAACAACAATACCAACCATCAAAACTAAAAGGCCATCTTCATCTCCATCCGGCTTCCTCTTCATTTTTTGGTTTAGAAAACAATCAATCCCGCTCTTTTGCTAACGACGTCAATTCACATTTCTGACAGGAGAAGCTGAAACCTCTCGTGTCATTTTTGCTACGTCGCCACCGAGAGAGTTCCGAATAACGCCCGAGAGATCAAGCACGTCGGATTCACAGTCCTATCTTAGGTCGTATTCTGGTACTACACCACAGAAATTATCGAGGTTGTCTCGAAACGACGAGAAAGATATATTGGTAACTCCCAGAGTAAGTGTTATGTGAAGGTCATGAAGGAGTGAAATAGGAACTTGGATTACTCCAAGGTTCATCACTAGGACCGGGACACCGAATGGAAAATAGAATAACCAACGGGATTTCCTCAAGGTTTATCACTAGGACCGGGATTCAGGTCACTGGGAGTGGGAATTATAATGACCAACATGGATTTTCTCCAAGTTTCATCACTGCATGCATGGGGCTGAGATTTAGGTCACTGGTTTTTGGGAATAAAAGCCGTCAGCAGTATGGGTCATGGTTTTCTAATCAGGTTCATCACTAGGACTTTGATTCATATGAGAAGTGCAAAGGAACTTAAATATTTTGATATATATTAAAAACATTTGTTTCTTTTAGGATGTCCACAACTCGAACGTACAAATTGAAAACCTTAATTGGGAAATGGAGACACAAGTAAGTAAATTTTTGTTAATTTGTCAACTTAGGGGTCGGGAAAACGAATTAAAAAAGTGGAAAATCTTCTTGGATCAGTACATGGAATAGACCCCGTTTACATGACGGTAGAGTGACCCTATTGCCAGGGACTAGCTCTATTTTTGGTGTGACGTCTTGTGGAAGCATCAGGATGACTTAACTACCTGCCCTTTATAGTTAGTCATTTTGAAAGTTGATTTTATGTTTACTTTTGTTGATTGCAGTCAGTGAGACATAAGAGAAAGATCGACAAATACTTACAGGAATTGTATCCACAGCAGTATAGAAACATGCGACCACAGACTGAACCAGCTGACAAACGTGAATCAGTTGGCCAGTCTCTATCGTTACGTCATGATATGAAGGTGAGACCTCAGTTTTATGTACATGCAGACTCTTACTCTTATGCGATATCTTCTTCAACGAGAAAGGCACACTCCATGAATGATCAACAATTTTTTTTCTCTTATAGAAATTGCCAGGGGCAAAGCAGCCGCTCTCAGTAGAAGCCATCAAAGTTTCTCCACGAAAACAAAAATCCAAAAAAGAAAATATCTATTCTACGTTAAAATCAAGACTCCAAAGCACAAACTCTCTTTTAGACTTCGGCGAAGTTGAGGTCCCTTCTACTCCATTTTCAACGTTCTTAATGAAAGAACTCGAGAGAAAAAGAGGAAAAGATACAATGCCATTACCTTATAATGGGCCAAGAACATTGAAATTAGAAAACCTCGGGAGTTTACCCAGGGAAAGCGAGCTGAACGCTGAACGTAATGATAAAGAAGTCCTAGATTTATTGGATAAGTTTCAAGAGGCCGACTTTGTTGCAACTGGGAAAAAAGGATTTGGTGCGGCTCATGGTGATGAACGACAGAAATGGAAGCATACGACGTTCGTGTAGAGACAGTTTTTCGCGGTTCTAATTTATTTGGAGATGAGGTGAAGAACTATTGTCGGCATCTTGGGACCCAATATCGAGCGAAATCCTAGCTCGAGATGTTTTTCAGTCAGATGGCTCAAAAATTCAAATTCAAATTACAGAAATGAATGCACTATCTGTTTAACTTTGCATGTATGCCTGTGCAATATATTCGTGTATGGAAATCATATTACTATATATTTTGTTAAGCACTAAAGTGTGCTCCAAGAACTCCTGCGAGACCACTGAACTTATGCAAACAAAAACCACACAGAATTCATGCATTGGTTTCGACGATGAACGCCATCTGTTTTTGATTTGAAAATGTTGCACGTTTAACAATCGAGAAAATTATTTCCGTTTTCATTCAGAACAAACGCGATTGTTATTCGTACGGGAGTCGTTATTCGTACAGGAGTCTGTTCAACGAATATTTACCAACATTTTTCATTCCCGTACGAATTATTCGCGATTGTTATTCGTACGGGAGTCGTTATTCGTACGGGAGTAATTTTTGCCTAATTACTTCAGCTCTAACGAAAAATCCGAAAACCAGCTTGGATTTACTGGTAGCATGGCGCATGCGCAGTGCTTATATATTGTTTGATGTAATATCACGGCTGTAATCCAATTTTTTATGGGGAGGGGATACGGGTAGAAGTGAATGAATGAATGCTAATGAATATGATATTAATTCAAATAAATAAAACGATTTAAAAAAGTGATGCTGTTTTTCATTATTGTATTGATTCAAACTTTGCTTGAAAAAATCAATCCTATAAAAGCAAAGAATAAATTTGTCAGTTTGTGTAACGATATTTTTGAGTTTTTCTTTTCTTTTCTTTTTTTTTTTTTTTTTCTTATTTTTTTTTTTTTTTTTTTTTTTTCTTTCACTCGCCTCCAGGCTTCCTATTCGTACCGGTTTATATACCCGAGTAAGCATGAGCACTAGGCGTTTCCTCTCGACCAATCATAACAGAGTATTAATCAAGCGTTCTTTTTGAAATTCGCAACCGAGTCACATGTGAACACAAACCTCTCGTCAAACATTCTAAAAGGCGAGTTATATCCTAAAATGTAGATATTTATATCACCCAAAAATACTGGAAAATCAGAGGCATAGAATCAATACTTCAGATTAAAGGCTTAGAACTTGGAAAAACGAAGATCGCAAGCGAATTTCTGAGGAGAAAGTCGTTTGGAATTATTGTTTTTTAAATTTAAACTGCAAGTTTTCTTCAGCTGATCGTGTAGAGTTTTCGCTGTTTAAGTAGGATTTTTATACTTTAGATTGCTAATAGGAGAGTCTAAAGTACCAAGATGGTTTCAAGCTCAAGAAATCCGACCAGTTTGAAGGCTAAAGGAGGAGAAAAACACAACGAGCAAAGCAGTAACATGAAAGTTGTCATTCGCGTTCGTCCTCTGAATGAACTCGAAAACACTGAAGCAAATGGAAGCGTTATCCGTGTCATGGATCAAAATGTTCTTGTCTTTGATCCTAATGAAGACTGTGAGGCAATGAACTTCCCTGGATCTTTCAAAGAAAAGCGAAGGAGTCTACTCCAACGAAGAAGAAGAGATTTAAGATTCATTTTCGATCGCGTCTTTAACGAGAATTCAACAACAACAGAGGTCTTCGAACACACGACCAAGAATATTATCGATGGAGTCTTGAATGGGTATAACTGTACTGTTTTTGCTTATGGAGCAACGGGAGCTGGCAAGACGCATACGATGCTAGGAAACACAGAAACCCCAGGAGTGGTGTTCCTTACAATGATGGACTTGTATCAAAGGATCGAGGAGCTGAAAGATGAGAAGACTTGTGATGTTGCCGTCTCGTATCTAGAGGTAAGTTTACGACTGTTTTTATTGCTACGCAATGATCGAGACAACAGTATGGAAATCAGGCAATACACTGCCATCCATCAGAGTATATAAAGCTACCGAATAGTTTATTTGATTGACTGTATTAGTCTAATGCCCCCTTTCCCTGTTGTGATTGTTGTCTCTATCAGCAATAGCAATGAAAACAGTGATATGCAATTTATATATGCATCAGTATAGTGATAATATATTATTAGTTTATTGGAACCCAAGGTCCCCATTCCCCTTCACCCTTTCCTACCTCAATTGAACGAAGAAAAACTAATCTAAGAAATCTAAGACTAGAGAGAGGAAATCTAAGACTAGAGAGAGAGGAGTCCTCTAGATTTTCATGAATCCACCTTTGAGCGACCATGAAAAAATGGCTACAAGAAGAGGGTGGACTTCCTAAAAAATACCATAAATGAATGAAAACATCAAGTTTAAATTTTTGTATTAGTGTTAGTTTTATATGTAGCATTAAGGTGCTGACACACGGTGCAACATTGCACGCAATATTGCAAGCAACAAATTTGCATCAGGGTAATACACATTGCAACAAAATCACACAACATCACTTGTGTCAGCCTGCTATGTTAAGATATTTGGTCAGCAGTTATAAATTAGGTGCAAGCTGATTGGCTGGAAATTTCAAAACATTGCAGGTAATGTTGCAGCCATGTTCACATGATGAAATTTGTTGCGCGCAATGTTGCAAGAGTAGAGCTTGATTAAACTTCAAATTTGTTGCATGCAACGTTGCATGCAACAAGTTTGGGGTAGACACACACTGCAACATTCCTGCTGAGTGCAATGTTGCACCGTGTGTCAGAACCTTTAGAGTCTTCTATTGTTTAAATCTCAGTGGCTATTAGCATCTAAAAAGTAAATTTTGTTTCACAGGTTAATGAAAACCATTCTAGTATTGTTTGTAACATTGTTTAAAAATATAATTTTTTWAAAAAAGAGGAAATAAAAATCAAGTTTAAATTTGACTTTAAGCTATTGATGAAGAAAAATTAAAAACATGGAGACATGCTATATCCAGTAATAATGCATGTGGGGATAGGCCGAATAAACACAAGAGAAGTGTTAGCTAAAAGAAGTATGCATAGGATGTAGCTTCACTATACAAAGGTTAATATTGCCCTTTATTTTCATTTTTATTGTATTGCAATAGCAATCCAGTCAAAAAATATGACAACATTTTAACAAGTCTGTAAATATATTCTCAGGTGTATAATGAAACCATCAGGGACCTGTTGTTACCAGGCCCTCCCCTTGCTGTGAGAGAAGATCCTGCAAGAGGTGTCTGTGTCAGTGGGCTGACACTTCACAAGGTATGCATACAGCATTTTTATATGTTAAAATCTAGCCTAAAATCTAAGGAGAGGGAGGGCCTGCAATGAACCCCCTTGATTTTACCTACCGCCCCCTAATTAATATGCAAACTCAAAGAGAAATAAACATGACTTTATTCTTTCATTTGATTGGTTGAAAGTTTGCATATTGATTAGGGGGCGGTAGGTAAAATCAAGGGGGTTCATTGCAGGTCCTCCCTCTCCTTCCTTCCTCTCCCCAGTCCCCCTCCCCTTCCTCTCCCCAGTCCCCAATCCCCTTCCCTTCCCTTTGGGCCGCAACACAGGCTAGTTAAAATCATAATATGCATGCTCTGCAATGACTGAGAACTGTCCTTTATTAGTGAATAGTGCTAATGCAAAGACATGTAACAAAACAGCATTTGACACTAATAAAACAAAACAAGACAATTCTAAACAGCTTTATTTCCATAATGTAGAACTTAGAAAGCTCCAAAAATGCTCAAGAAGTGTGATTCTCTTCACACTTCTTTTTTGCTTACATTACTCCTTGCCTGTAGAACTTAGAAAGCTCCAAAAATGCTCAAGAAGTGTG